ATATTTATTCTCAAAGTGGGCAGTAGACAAAATAAGTTTGAGAACCACTGGTCTAGAAGAACATATAGGCTACTTCACACACACATACACCCCGTTCAAACACCCAACACATACACGCACATTGGTACACTTAAACATTTATTAATTTTTAACTAATTTAGCTTTTTTTTTATATAATTTTTAGTTAATATTGATTGTTCTCTTTAGATTATTAAATTATTGCTCAACTTTAAAAAAATTGTACATACGCAATGTAACTTATAGGAAGTCATTGGCTCCTTTAATACAGGGAGACCTAGTAAAGGAGCCAAGGTTATAATGAACCAGATTTGTTGAATGTACAATAAAACTTTATTATTATTATAAACGATATACATTTATTTATCACATTTCTAATATAATACATTTCATATAAATATATATATATATATACAAAACATATTATATTAAAAAGAGAACACCACCGGCTGCGGAATCCCATGACTCAAACAACCAGTGGTCAGGGCTGCAGAGACAGGAACCTTCTCACGATGCGCGCGGTTTCTAGGATAACTGCCTTTTGTATCGGGCCCTTAATCCAAATGTTTAGCGAGAGCTTCTTGAGATGTTGGTCGAAGCTGTTCGCTATCAGTCCATTTACCGATACGACTATCGGAATAATGGTAGTCGATTTCATACGCCACATGGCGGTAACCTCGTGAGCCAAATCTAGGTATTTTAACACTTTTTCCTTTTCAGCTTTCACGAGATTCTCCTCATGTGGAATAGTGACATCGACTAACATTACACAACTCTCAGACCGGTCTATTATTACTATATCGGGCCTATTGGCAGCAATAGTCCTATCCGTAATAATAGATCGTTATTATTATTATTATTATTACTTACCCGCGCGGACGGAGTCGCGGTCGACCGCTAGTAATATAACTCATAAATTAAAAGCAATTGTTAACATTATAAATGTTAGGAATAGTCAATTTAGATTGCAGATACAGATAAACAACAGTTGTATTGTTGAGTTATCTGTAATGAACAAAGTTGTAAGAGATTTGTAAAGTTATTGGTCATAAGATCAAATTATCTTATACAAGAATATAGATTAACATTAATGTAGGACTGTGGTTTTTGAACGAATGTTAGACAATTAAGATTGAGACGCGTGAATGACTGATCGGACAGAGTGAACGGAATTATGGAAGGACGGCAAAACGAAAGGAGTGCAAGTAAAAAGATATTGTAAAGCAATAAATAAAATAATAAGAAGACGAAAATCTTTCATTCTGCCCACCACCTCACCACATTAACTAGCTATCTACGCCAGTGTCACTCGGATAATCAAATAAAAACACAAGATACCTTTAATAAAATTTAGCATAGAGACCGCTTTAATATAGCACGAATTGGTTTGCCCGGTGCACCACGAACACAGAAGACAGGCGTGGAGTGAAAGAAATTCCGCGTTTCGTCTGATGAGTGTGCGTCCCGGTTGCCTAATTTTAGTTCTCTTTCCCTTCCCACCCTTATTCTTTATAAGGAAAGAATGGGAAGTGGAAGAATCAAATACTCAGTTCTACTATCCCTTGGAGCTTTGAAAAAATTAAACTTCTAAACAATTTTATGCAGCAAATTTCCTTAAATTCGACTACACTCACAAGGGAATGCAAACCTACGTGGTACTTTTCGTATCTTGAAATTTAGTACAAGTAACTTTAGCATAAATAAAGGAAAAAATTACCGTAAATTTTTACTCACATAGTTTGTACGGAACAGTGGGGGCGTGAGTCCGACTCGTACTTGGCCAGTTTTTTTTTAATTTCAAACATAAAATGATTACATTTATATTTTTCGAGCGATTATTAAAACTGTAGGTAATCTGTGAGAGCAATAGCTCTGGCAAATTGAAAACAAACGCTCGTGCAGTTTACGTATTAGCAAAAACGTTTGCTCTCTAACAAGATTTGTATCTTGAATAAAAAGGAGATTTTCTTATTGAAGTTCTAATCCGCAAGGAACGGCTTGTATTTTTTTAAGGCGTCAGATCATACATGTTTTTTTTAATTATTATAAAGTGGCAAAAGAGCTAGCGGCTAGTGGACACCCGAATTCTCCGAAATAGAGAAGCGAACGTTGCCCATAGACAACGGCAACTGCAGATGCGTTGCTTACCTTTAATCGACGAATTTCATCTTCCTATACCTCCACTTCTTCATCATCCACTACCACTTCCCATCCTTCTCTAAATAAAAAGTTGAGAAGGGTAAAGGACTAAAATTAATCTTCTGTGTCTTCTTACTATATCTTTTGTAATGGCAACCAAGAAAATCAATTAGAAAAAACCTCTTGCTATCCCTCTCATTTTCCTTGACAAAAACAAAGCCAACAATATGTTTACATGCGTCACTTTCAACCGTGAACTCATACAATAACCTATGAATGGATCGGCAACTCGTTTATAAAATTCCTATAAAATTTAAATTCATTCATAACTTTGGATGGAATTTATTAATTGAAATTAATTAAGTTAATTTAAGTTTTAAGACAATAATTACAAAACAAACGATGAAAGCCCATTAAGAGCCATGAAAATAATTCACTGTAGAAGCATCGCAACTTGAAGTTAAAATATAACTTGCTAAAATAGAAAGTTTAAGTATTAATTATAAATATCTATTGAATATTCATGTTGTTTGAAAATGTATTTAGAGTTAGTTGTTTTATTTAAAACAAGCTGTCGCCTGCGACTCCGTCCCCGTAGCCTATGTGTTCTTTCAGACTATGTTCTACATTTATGCCAAATTTCAGCAAGATCTATGCTGCCATTTTTCAGATCCCTTTCAAACATCCATCCATCCAAACATTCCCATTTATAATATTAGTGAAACTAGCTGTTGACTGCGACTCCGTCCGTGCGGAGGAATGAAAAAAAAACTTAATAAATTGCCTATGTGTTCTTTTGGAAATTTCAAAGCGATCCATGCTGTCGTTTTTAAGATACCTTTCCAACAAACATCCATCCATTATGATTCGTATTTATATTAGTATGATAAATAAAAATAAATTTTACAATAACTAAGTTCTTTAAATTCAAAACTGGAGTAAGGTATGTTAAACGCGATCGCATGAAATGTCCACAAGTCTGTAATCCACTTTATGTCTCGATCACACCGCAGACGGTAGCTTCGATTTGCATACGAATAGAATCGACCATTTAACCAGCCACTAAAGTCTACGTATTGACTTTCGTATATCTAGCAAGAAGCAATGGTCTGTACTCTAGCAAGTAACGTTTGTATTGTTAGGTAAAAAACGCACTTTGCCGGTGTATCGCAACACTAGCCTTATTAAAATGTTAACGTTTATGTCCCCTCACTAATCATTCTGACACTTGAATTTTAACGAAAGCACGTCATTCGCGTCATAACGTTCTAACTAATAATGTCTCAAAGTATCATTCTATTGAAATATCTTAACGGCTCAGGGTTATACGCAGTGTCTTCGTCCCTCGTCCCGCGAAGCTTCCAAACACGTAAATTGTGTTGTATGCTGCGACTAGCGCATTGTTAAGAGCCGTCAAGATATCTGAATACAATTATACTATGCATGTCTTAAGTCAAATTAAAAAATGCGTTGGAACACACTTTTGGACGAAATATAACAAAATATTTCTTGTATATTATACCGGCAGTTACAAATAATTTTATTTCTTTATTTATTCAAATACAATACGACGAAATAACATCGTGGAATAATTAAATTGGCATGAAATCTTTTAAACTTCACTAAATTCGTGTCAATTTTGACAGAAGAGTTAAAAAGTTTTCCAATTTTCCGACCGACGGAGTACGGGATTGCTTCATTCTGATAGCGTTTGGTATTTTGCCAATTTTCCAATGAAAGTGGCTTGTACTGGAATTGTGAAGGAAAAATATTGACTGTTAATTACAAGAACACTTTATTTGGTATATAAGAAAATATTAAATACACCGGTTTATTGTAGGCTGAAATAAGTTTCAAATAAAAATGTACATTGTTGTGAAAATATCCTCTCTTTGACAAGTTCCTTCTCGTCACCTCTCTGTTTATTTAAGACAAGCTGTCACCCACGACTCCATCCGCGGGAATTAAAAACAAAACTTTTTCCTGACTATGTTCTACTTATATGACAAATTTAATCGAGATCCGTTCAGCCGTTCTAGAGATATCTTCAAACACCCATCCATCCATATCACAGCCATCTAAACATTCGCAATTATAATATTAGTAAGTTAAATAAAAAGCAGCTCTTTAAAGCATAAATTCGTAAAATAGTCCATCCTATCCAGTCGTATCCTATGTCCGTCTAATGGCTCTTAGCTACCTCCTCACCAATTTTCAACCATATCGCTAAAGCCGTTCTTGAGTTATAAATAATGTAACTAACGCGATTGACTGTTTATTCTCAGTCAGGAAAATAATAATCAAAGAACAAATCTTAATAAAACAGGAAAAAAGATGGTTTATGTTTAATTATCTTGTAAAACTGGTTTTTGTTAATTGCGCAACTTACAGTAATTAACCGTTGTTTTCTGAGACCAAAATATATATTAAACATATCGTCATCCCTGTCATTATCTTATTACAGATATAACAATCCGGGATTTTGGTCTCAGAAACCCACAGTTAGTCTTTGCGTTTGATTTATTTTCTTCGTGTACTCAACATAAGACTACGATTAATTTGAGAACCAATGTTGTTTCTCTCAGCTACAACTACATACTTACTAATATTATAAATGCGAATATTTAGGATGGATTTTTGTTTGAAAACATCTTCAGAACGACTGAACGGATCTCGATGAATTATGGCATACATATAGAACATAGTCTGGAAGAACACATAGACTACTAATTATGTTTTTAATTCCGCGCAGACGGAGTTGCGGGCGACCGCTAGTATGCTAGGACTTAGGACCTATAATGGGATACGTAGTACCAAAAGATGAATTAAAATCATGATGTTTTTTACTCATTTACTCATCAAATTCTTCAAAGTAATTTAACTAATGCTGAAATTTATTTCACATATTTTTGAATCCAACCTCTGTATTCTGCGATCTTCGTGAAGACTACGTATTGGTTAGGATCGCATACTGGCATATCTCTTCTGGAGACGCTTAAAGACACAATGCCGTAGACATACCAGGCACCAGTCGCGTTGGCAAAGTCACTGCCAGTCACATCTGGTACAAACACATGGAAACCACCTCCGCTGTCCCCATTGCAAGCTGATGTTCCTGAAACATAACACTACTTGTTAAAATGTATAATAAAAAACTAATGAGATTAAATTTGCATGGCTACAAAGGTAGAAGAAGACCCAAGATAGCATGGATGGATTTTTTTTATATCATAAGGTGGCAAACGACCGAGCGGCCACCTGAAATCACTGAAATAGCGAAGTGACCGTTGCCCATAGACATACGCAATTGCATATGCGTTGCCTACCTTTAATAGACGGAGGAGAGGATGCACAGAAAGAAAACATTTGCATGCATCCTCTCATCCGGAAAGTCTACTTCAACTTAGCGATTTTATGTGGCGCTCGCTCGTTTGCCACCTTGTGATATAAAAAAAATGTCAAAATTAGCATGAGATTTTTGGTACACTTTACTTCCCTTAGAGGCGCTGCACGATCGATGACGATTCGATGGCGGTTGTCACAAATATTCGTTGTAGGCCCACTGATCAAGGCTGCAGGACCTATCATCGTGGTGATCTTTGGGAGCGTATGTCCAGCAGTGGACATCTTATAGCTGAACAAGCAAGTATGCTTTTTTAAATTTATGGCTCTCACAATTACTACTTACCATTACCAAAACCGGCGCAGAACTTTTTATTATTCAACAATTTTGAATAGAAAAGTGGATTCTTCTTAATACAATCGGAATCAGATATTTGAGGCATCGTCGCTTGTCGGAGTTGAGTTGATAGTGCATTGTCCTGATCGAATCCCCATCCTACCACCTGGAAAATAAAACTATTATCTATTAACAAAATCAGAACTGGTTAAAAAAAAGAATGGTTAATCAGAATCCTTCCTATGTTTTTCTACTAAGGATACGTTGAGAAAGGAAAATATCTTGGCTAGGAAGGGTAAGGTAAGGAAAAGGATACATATTTGAATCCGTTCTCTTTTCTGTCCTTTCAAGGTATCCGCAAATCTTAAACTTATTGTAGATATCTTACAGTGGGTTTCTTAAACCATAATCTAAATTTAAAACATATTTCTATCTCCGTCTTGTCAAGGATAATGACAGGGATGACAATATGTTTTATACGGAGATAAATATAAATTAAAACGCGCTTATCTCAGGAACTACTGGTCCGATTAGAAAATTTCTTTTTTTGTTGGATAGTCCATTTATAGAGAAAGGCTTTAGGCTATATAACAATACGCTGCGATCAATAGTTTTTTTTTATTATAATTCCGCGCAGACCGAGTCGCGGGCGACACCTAGTATTTTTTACAGATTTTGATAGTTACTTTAGACATACAAAGAGAGAGTTTGGAGCGTCGGTGGCTCAGGAGTCCAGCACTTGACTTGTAATCTGCAGGTCCTGGGTTCGAATCCCGCCACGTACTAATGTGTTTTTCGATTTCCGATTAACATATGTACATTTATCCAACGTTCTTATCTGAGAAGAAATTTCAAGATATGTGTGAAGTCAACCAACCCGCACTTGGCCAGCGTGGTTGACTATTGCCTAATCACCCTTAACTTAGGGTAGGCTCCGAGGTGGGTGGGGACGTATAGTAAGCTGATGATAATAAAGAGAGAGTTTGACTGATTGAAAAGAAATTGACAATCAAAAATATATGACAGTTTAAAAATATGTACTTACAGTGCCTATGATTTTTTCTTTATTAGGCAGCTTTTCAACCGCTGTGGGGAACCATAGACAAGCTGGTTGTACGTAATCATTAAACCGTACTTCAGAGGTTAACTTCAATAAAGCTATGTCGTTGTGCAATTGTTTTGCATCGAAATTATCGTGAACTATTATTTCTTGGACCTGTAAATATAAATAAACATTAATCGTTTGTACGTAAGAGCGTCGGTGGATCAGGGGTTTAAGCACTTGACTTGCAATCTGCACGTCGTGGGTTCGAACCCCGCCATGTACCAATGTGTTTTTCGATTTACATATGAATATTTATCCGATGATCTTACGGTGAAGGATAACATCGTGATGCAACCTGCATATATCTAAGAAGAAATTCAAAGATATGTGTAAAGTCTACCACTTGGCCAGCGTGGTTGACTATGGCATAGTCACCCCATAGGGTAGGCTCCGAGCCCCTCGGTGAGGACGTATAGTGAGCTGATGATATGATGTTTTTACGTATTTATATCGAAGACCAGCTGTCACCCGCGACTCCGTCCGGGCAGAATTAAAAAACAACCATAATTAGAATAGAAGCCTATGTGTTCTTCCAGGCTAAGGTTCTGGAGATACCTTCAAACAAACATCCATCTATCTAAATTATATTAGTAAGATTTAGTTTAGGTATACTTACAGTTTTTTCCTGAGCTTCCAAGTCTCCGCCGGCGATATTATATTTACCTAAAACAACGTTTAGTGTCTCCGGTACGACCGGTTGACCTCTAACAGACGTGCAATGGGCAGCTGAAAAAAAAAAAGATGTTCGATATGTTATTATCAAATTTCTGATACATCACTTAGAAAACAAGTTTTCAAATTGCTGTTGTGTTTTGTTTATGAATGACTAGCTGTCGCCCGCGACTTCGTCCGCGTAGATATTGGAAAAACTTAATATATAGATAAGTAAATAAAAAGCAGCTCTTCAAGGCATAAATCCGAAAAAAATGAATAAATAGTATCCTATGTCCGTCTCCTGGCTCTAAGTTACCTCCTCACCAATTTTCAGGCATATCGGTAAAGCCGTTCTTAAGTTATAAATAGTGTAACTAACACGACACTCTTTTTTTATATATATTATATATAGATTTATCACATTTTTCCCCCCAGACGTAATATTTAAAGATGTTTTAAACTAGAATACAACTAAGTTAAAGCACCGATTTCAATTTTCGGATTAAAATTTAAGACCTTAAGCCATTCTACTCTTAACCGTTAAGCTGTTAGCAGTGAAGAGTTACTAGATTAAGAAGTGAGAAAAAACGAATTGCGTATTAAAATATTTATTTCAGAGATGAACATTGCTAAAAGACAAAAACTAAAGAAGACCGAAGAAGAAGTATTAAAGTTAAAGAGAATAAGAGAGTAACGGCCGATTACTTAAATTACATTTATTGTGGGCTTCCGAGACCAAAATCCTCTTTTAAAACATACCGTGATCACTGTTTAGTCAAAGACAGAGATAATGATATGTTATAGACAGATATTTTGGTATCAAAAACAACAGTTAAATATGTAACAGCGTCTCAATTGATAAGGCAACGCTTAAACTCCAAAAAAAAACAACTGAAATTTTGACAGCTGTCAGTTTGCAAACGGCACATCCACTTACTTCAAGAGTCGTTGCAGTATTCGGCCGTAAAAGTAGAAGAACCTTGCATAAAATGGAATTGTTTCTCGTACCTGTTAACACGAAGGTTTTGGACAAAAGAGTTCCACCGCAGATGTATTTTATAAGATTTCTTTTGACTCTATATAACGCTGTATGCCACGGCCAGTCTCCTGGCTTTGTATCCGCTCCGTTCACAATTAGTTCTGTGTGTTCAACTTTTCTACGACCACACGAACCATCGGGCACTTTCAAATGGCTTTCTGCAGAAACTTTTGTACCAATAATTAAATTATCCAAGTAACCCTAAAATATTGTACTTTTTTAAGAATACAAAATGACAAAGAGCACAAAGCAAAGTGGCCATTGGCCACCTTTAAAGAACAAAGGAAATTATATACAGACCAGTTGTCGCACGCGACTTAATCCGCGCGAAAATAAAAATAAAACTTCATTAGTTTAGCCTATGTATTTTTCCATACTATGTTCTATATTAAAATAAGCCTTGTTAAATTGTCAACGACTTGTCAGCACTCGACTTGCAATCTGCAGGTCCTGGGTTCGAATCCCGCCATGTACCAATGTGTTTTTCGATTTCCGATTTACATATGTACATTTATCCGACATTTTTACGGTGAAGGAAAACATTGTGATGCAACCTGCACATATCTGAGAAGAAATTCAAAGATATGTGTGAAGTCAACCAAGCCGCAGTTGGCCAGCGTGGTTGACCATGGCCTAATCACCCTTAACTAGGGTAGGCTCCGAGCCCCTCGGTGGGGACGTATAGTGAGCTGATGATGATGATGATGAAATTGTCAACGTTTATGTCCCCTCACTAATCAATCTGACACTTAACATTCGGGGCAAATGATTCTAACTAATAATGTCTAAAAGTATGTATGTCAAATTTTATCGCGATCCGTTCTTGAGATACTTTCATCCATCCATCCATACAAAATTCGCATTTATAATATTAGTAAGATCTTACCTTATTTGGTGACTTACAATATTCCACCGTGTTGATATTTAAACTCTCAAAGTACGGTACGGTTCCCGTGACTGGACCTCTCACTGTGAATCCGACGGAGTCTGCGTTATCGAAGAAATGGATAGTAAATTCGTTATCATTTTGAACAGATATTCTTGCTTTTGCTGAGTCGAACTGAAAAAAAATAAGGCTTTGAACACAATGTGAACTACCAGCTTATTGTTTTGAAAAATTTAATTTACAAAATTAAACTGTCGCTTTCTTTTTTTATAACAGAAGGGGGGCGAACGAGCAGCGGGAACACCGAGGTGTTCAACAACGCCCATGGACATCAGCAATACCAAAGGAAGCGCAGATGCGTTGCCGGCCTTTGAGATAGCGATAAGCTCGCTTCTTGAAGGACGCTAAGTCGTAGCGGTTTAGAAATACCGCCAAGGACAGACCATTCCACAACGCTGCTGTACGAGGCAGGAAGTTTCTCGCTAACCGCACGGTTGTGGATTGCCAGCCATCGAGATGGTGTGGATGGAACCTGACGGTCTAATCAGCAATTACTAAGGGAGTCTCTTAATGAAGATTTCTAATACAAAATCAACACTAAGGGAGACGTCACACTGAGTGCAGTATTAATTATTCAAGTTTATTCATCTATACATATTAACAAAAATGACGTGTCTATATGTAATATAATATTAGTATAATTAAATAAAATACATTTCATAAGTATACATGATATATTTTTGATTGTATGTCTGTATGTCTGTCCACAAGGCCGCGTTTGTTCCGAGTAATCCCCGGAACGATTGGGCCGATTTTGACAAGACTTTGACGGGAAGGTAGCTGATGAAAGCGAGCTTATAGGCTACTATTTTTTTTTTAATTCTGCTAGACGAAGTTGCTAGTGTATAATTATAAATACTTACAAGTGTAACAACAGCTTCGGTGTCGAATTTCAATTTAATTTTGGTATATCTCGGTACACTTTTACCAATAAAAACATTATATTGGTTCTCTTCTCCCGGAGGTCTTCCCGGTTCAAAAGATATGGTTATGTCCGTGACATTATTACAAGGATACGCGTGTAAAAGCGGATTACCGACTAGCGCCCACCCATCCTCACAATGGACACCAAATAATAAAGTTGAATAGTAAAATAATATAGTTTTGATTATAAGAATTTTCATTATTTGTCTGAAAATTGAATAACGCTGTTATGTCTACAAGATCTCTCGTTGTATTGATGATAATTTTCTGATCAAGTCCAGAATCGTCTGTTGCTTGCAAAGTGATGAATTGGTCAGTATTAAAAATGTCAAATTAACAATTGATGTCAATAAAAGAGTAAAATATATTTTTGGTTTATTCCCGTATTGAGATATTTTTAGACTTCCGTACGTCCGTCTGTCTGTAAAGACCCTTTTTGTCAGGAACGCGTGAAGGTATCTAGCTGGAATTTATTATAATTAATGCTTTTTTTATTGGTGTATGGGAGCTACAAGTCCTGGATTGGGTTAGGACGGCGCGAGATCGGGAAAATGGTAGACTTCTGTTGTCCGAGGCCAACGCCCACTTCGCGTTGCTGCGTCACCCTGGTTAGTTAGTTATGTTTTACTTTTTTATGGTTTGTTGATTTAGAATATCAAATCAATGACATTAAGGTTCAGGACAAGTTGTAAAAATGTTAATTCATCAGTTGTGATGCATTTTCCTTGTCGCTATTTTTCGCATTGCCTGCGACATGACAGATGTGTTGATGACGCATAAAACCAGTCGTATGCATTTTGTTTTTCCTATTACCTCTATAGACTTTATTTAAGTAACTAGTTGTCGCCCACGACTCCGTCGGCGTGCTCTAAAAAAAACTTAATTAATAGCTTGTTGCTAGTGTTCTTCCAAAGTATGTATTAAGTCTATGCCAAATTTCAGCGAGATCTATACAGTCGTTCTCGAGATACCTTCAAACAAACATCCATCAATCCATCCAAACATTCGCATTTATAATATCAGTAAGAAGTAAGATTTAATGTCCCATAAAATCTTCTGAACTTATCTTATGTCCATTGCCCCTGAACAATAAGAATAGCAATTGTTACGTAAAGAGAAAATGTATTTTAAAATATTTTATAAAAAAAATGAATCGAATCAAAATCAACAGGCGCTCTTAAATCGTAACGAAAAGTATTTCCAAGCAATGCAGTGTTTATAATAAATCAATGCTATATCAAATGTGTTTATTGACATAAAGAGTCAAAGATTATCTCTGACCCATATTTACTTCTATAAACACGATAATTGTACAATAATTTATTATCTTACTAATATTATCAATGCGAATGTTTAGATGTATAGATGTTTGTTTCAAAGTATCTCGAAAACGGCTAAACGGATCTCGCTGGAATTAGGCATACATAGTCTGGAAGAAGACATAGACTACTAATAATGTTTTTATCCCGCGCGGATGGAGTTGCGGGCGATAGCTAGTACTTAAATAAGTCTTATGGTTTCAATCGCTATTTAAGTTTAAAAGGATCTGAGAACAATGGTAGAGCCTGTATCTGCATGTCTGGCGTATGATATAAAACAAATCTTTACATTTCACATTTCCTCACTCAGAGTAGTTAAGTTAGACCTAAAGTGTACGCATTAGCAATTGCAGATGTCAGACACGGGTAGCTTCGTCATGTAAACAAAGTCGATTGACCGCTTGATGTTATACTACCTTACAATATAAGAAAAACTATAAAATTATTTTTGCCTTGATGTTTTTTTTTCTGTCTGAGGCTTAATAAGATCTCATTTATTACCTCTACATTATTAAAGAAATATCTTTGCCATTTTCCTTATAATACACGTGTTCAAACCAGCTTGTAAACAGGAATGTGTACGACTCGCCATTTCGGTATCAATCCAGTTTGTAATTAGTATTAAATATTTACCTTATAATATTGGTATAAAAATTAGGATCTTTAACGCTAGGATTATATTGATAGCTGCCGCACGCAACTCCGTCTGCGTGAAATAAAAAACTTAATTAGTAGCCTATGTGTTCTTCCAGACTATGTTATACATCTATGTCAAATTTCATCGAGATTTGTTGTGCGGTTCTGGAGATAACTTCAAACAAACATCTATCGATCTTAACATACGTATTAGTAAGATCTATAATCTGGTCGGTTTATTTATTGAAAATCACTTAATACTTCTTATTTTACTAATGTTATAAATACGAATGTTTGGTTAGATGTTTGTTACAAGATATCTCTAGAAGGACTGCATAGATCTGGCTGAAATTTGGTGTAGGTGTAAAGCAAAGACTGGAAGAAAGCCTATGCTAATTGCTTTTTTTTTTAATTCGGCGCTGATGGAGTCAAACCGCGGAGACGGAGCAAAATATGTTGTAACCAAAAATAAAAGCGAATTTTAAAAAGGTCAAAGAACCAGGATCTTTCCTTGAATTATTATTCAAGACAGTTGTATAATCAAAAACTGTTAAAAATTATATCTCTTTAATAAGGTATAAAACATATTTTTATTTAGATAAAAACTAATACAGTCTTAAACAGAATAACAATATTTTTTTGCTTTTTTTATTTCCTTGTCTTCTTTTGAGCACATAATTCTTCCACTTTAAGGATTACCATATATTTAAAACGTCATTTTTAGAAGCATTTTTATGTTTTTTTTTTCCGAATACACTTTTTTTATCTTTATTATGGAAAAAGTGAAAGAGCCGAACTCTGTTTTTTATAAAACTGACAATATTATGTTCCTTTTTTCTAATTTAAGATTAAATAATTTTCTTTCAAAACAAATACGTTTTTTTTGATTACGAAAGATATTAATTTCATTTGCAGTCTTTTCAATTTTAATATCATTTTTTTAGTTATATTTGTCGAGTCCTCTTTTTTCTTTTTAGTATTTCGAAAACAAAAGAATTATGGTGTTATTGTAAGAAACAATATAAAAAAAATAGTACTTTTGTATGTCACCGACGAAGTATGAAATTCGTCATTTTATAATCTCACTAGGTACATTATAAACTTTAGGAAAATTATTAACTGCATATTTTATTTATCAATTCACAATCGGTAAGAAAATATCATCATCAGCTCACTATACGTCCCCACCGAGGGGCTCGGAGTCTACCCTAAGTTCAGGGTGATTAGGCCATAGTCAACCACGCTGGCCAAGTGCGGGTTGGTTGACTTCACACATATCTTTGAATTTCTTCTCAGATATGTGCAGCATCACGATATTTTCCTTCACCGTAAGAACATAGGATAAATGTACATATGTAAATCGAAAAACGAAAAACACATTTGTATATGGCGGGATACGGGATAAGAAAATATTACGAAATAAATTTATTAAAAAAAAATATTGCTAAATATTAACTTACTCCGCTGGCGCATCGACCCGAGCTAAACATTAACACGACATATAAAAAACTTCTGAAAATAATTACATAATGAAAAAAAAAAATTTTCACTAAAAACCAAACTCATTGAACATATTTATCTATCCAATCTTTGTATTTAGAAGCGTCTGTGAAGACCACGTATTGAGTTGGATCGCATATTCTTGCGTTTCGCTTTGACACCGTCAACGAAACTATACCCTTAAGGAACCACGCTCCTGATGCGTTTGGTGCATCATCATGACGTACGTCAGGCGTGAACACAAAGAATCCACCACCACTGTCACCGTTGCAAGCAGATGTACCTAGAAATAATTTTTCTTTTACTCAAAACAGATTGATTTCTAATATCTTCAAAATTTCTTAATTACACATTATTAGTTAGGATCCTTTGACGCGAATGACGCGCTTTCATTACCAAGACAAGTGTCAGAATGATTAGTGAGGGGACATAAACGTTGACATTTTAATAAGGCTAGTGGTGCGCTACACCGGCATAGTGTCGGATTTTATTCCTAACAGTAGATATATATTTTTATATATCATAAGGTGGCAAACAAGCGAGCGGCGAAGTATCAGTTGCCCATAGACATACGCAATTACATATGCGTTGCCTACCTTTAATCGACGGAGGAGAGGATGCACGGAAATAAAATATTTTCCCTTCCCATGCATCCTCTCATCCGCAAAGTCCACTTCCACTTCCCATCCTTTCCTTATAAGAAAAAGGACGGGAAGGGAAAGAGGACTAATTTTGGCCTCCGGGACGCACACTCATCAGACTGTACTTGGAATATCTTCCACTTGATGCCTGTCTTCTGTGTGGTCGTGGTATATCACCGGACGAGCCGGGACTATTCGTGCGAACATGTTAAACCGGGCTTTACCACTGTTAAACATTCCCTTACCACTCTTTTATTATAAGAAAATGATGAGCTTAGGAAGGGTAAATATTCTTCGTGCATCCCCTCATCCGTTGATTAAAGGCAACGCATCTACAATTGATAAAGGCAACCACAACCACATTTGTAACTTTATGCTATAAAAATGGGACTGACAAAACCTTTCGATCAAAAAAAAAATCAAAATCGTAGCACCAGGGGCGGAGTAACGCGGTAACACATATAAAAACATACAGACGAATTTATAACCTTATTTTTGAAGTCTATAAAAAAGTTTAGTGTGGAAGTTCTCACCATTTCCCCAGCCTGCGCAGAATTTGTTATCATTCAAAACCTTTGAATAGAACAGTGGGTTACTTTTATAGCATTTCTGTTCTCTTATTATCGGCATTGAAGCTTGCCTAAGTTGTGTTGAGAGCTCATTGGATTGATCAAATCCCCATCCTACAACCTGCAAGGTAATATAAACTTCAAAGATTTATTTTTTGTGACTGAGTAGTCACTGTTTGCGTTGAGGAGGCATTTACAGCTTCACCGGGCTTGAGGTGGCCGAGCGCAGATGGCGCTTAGCCTGAACCTGCCCTTATACTGAGAGTGGGCACAGACTATCCGCGCGGACGGGTTCGCGTGGATAAGTAGCCTATGTGTTCTTCTACACTATGTTCTATATCTATGTCAAATTTCATGGAGATCCATGCAGCCGTTCTAGACATATCTTCTAACAAACATCCATCCATCTAAACATTCGCATTTATAATATTAGTAAGATTAATTATATTTACTATTCGACCATAATTTGGATTTTTTTATTTAAATCGAGGTTCGGCACAGCATGTACTACTCCTCCATACATCTCTATCAGCCGTCATATCTGGATCTACCCCCTTCTTACGCATATCCTCTTTCACACAGTCACTCCATACTTTTTTTGGTCTTCCTCTACCCTTGTAGACATCCACATTCAATCTTATTACTTTTTTGGTTATATCATCATCCCTCCTCATAACATGTCCAAAAACCATGCTAATCTTTTACTCCTCAATTTCTCGATCACTGGCGCTACTTACAAACTTCCTCTAATCTTTTTAACTTTATTCTTTCTTGTCACACCACACATCCATCTTATTTCAAGCTGAAATCATCTCAACATCAAATAAATTCTATCTTACTAATATTATAAATGCGAATGTTTAGATGGATGTTTGTTTAAAGGTATATCCATAACGGCTAAACGGATCTCGATGAAAATTGGCATAAATATAGAATATAGTTTGGAAGAACACATAGGCTACTTACTCATTTAGGTTTTTTTTTTATTTCGCGCAGACGTAGTCGCGGGTGACAACTAGACTAAAGATAAAACTTACTGCGCTGGTGTAGACACAAAGTATGTTTTGACAAAACTTACCGTGCCAAAAATTTCTTTGGTAGGATATCTCTCATGCGATTCCGGAGACCACACGCAAGCAGGCTGAACGTAGTCAGTGAATGTTACTTCAGTCCTTAACTTCAATAATGCAATATCATTGTCCAAAGATATTTGATATTTGAAATTTTCATGTAAAATTACACTGAAAACCTGCAAAAAACAACATAACTTTAGAAGTTGATTCAGATCTAAAGAAATATTAGAAAAGAAACAAAATAGATAAGAGAAATTCGCAATAAAATTTCAACTGACCACTGCACAAAACATCGTTATCTCGCTTTTTTTCAAAGAGAATAAGAGGGATGAAAATATAAGATGAATTGGAATCATTACAAATTGCCCGAAATCCACACCTAAAGTTGTGAAATGCCAAATATCAAAATCGTCTTAAATCTTCGAAACTTCATCATCAGCTCACTATATGTCCCCACTCAGGGGCTCGGAGCCTACCCTAAGATAGTAACTAGGTCATAGTCAACTGAGGCCCAGTGACTTCACACATATCTTTAACTCTCTCAGATATCATCAAGATGTTTTCCTTCATCGTAAGAACATCGGATAAATGTACACATGTAATCGGAAATGAAAAACACATTGGTACATGGCGAGATTCGAACCTAATAGCTGCAGTTCGCAAGTCAACTGCTTAAACCCTTTAGCCACCGACGCTTCTAAACTGCTGGACCGATTTTAATAAGACTTTTAGTAAAAGTTAGCATGCCTAAGTAACATAGGCTATTTAAAACCCTGATAAAGTAATGGACGATAGAGTCTTCAAAATTAACTTACTTCTTTCTCTTGAACAGCCACATCACCACCCACGAGGTTATGTTTACCAAGAATTACATTCAAAGTCTCAGGTATCACTGTCTCTCCTCTAACAGAAGCACAATGTGCAGCTAAAACATTTAATTACAATCAATATCTACAAGAATTGCAATTTACTTAGAGATTTAAAGCAAATATTGCGGCTAGTATTTACACTTGTTCTGTTCAATCAATGCAAACGTAGATCGTCTGGATGTTTGTTACCTCGTAATTCTAGACTAACTGTTAAATCTGGATGTTTGGAATAGAGAATTATTTCAATCTAGAATAGCCCAAGACTAACTTACTCAGATTTTTAGGATTCCGTACCTCATAGGAAAAAACGGAACCCTTATAGGATCACTTTGTTGTCCGTCCGTCTGACGCTTTTTCTCAAAAACGCGTTAAAGTATCAAGCTGGAATTTATATCTCATGTTCAGGTGTGCGGTCGCTAGGTGCTATGTTAAAATAAAACTTCTAAGCCAACCCAATCAAAAGATACAACCGTTTATTTATTAATCCCATCTGGATGATGTCAGGCAGCAGTCAAGGCGATGACAATATTTTATCGACAATCTACTTTACGAGATAGTATTGCTGTTGCGTGATTTTTGACAGCAAGTCAGAATACTTCTACTTAAGCCTGTCTTCTGTGAAATCGTGGACTTCAGGTGGCCGCTCGCTCGTTTGCCACCTTATTATATAAAAAAAACTTCTCTGGTTGTCTAATGAATGGAATGGGTTTTTTTTAATTTTGTTCTTACCAGTTAATACAAAGTTCTTGGATAATAAAGTTCCACCACAGATGTATTTAATTTCTCTTTTATAAAGTCTGTATATGGCGACATGCCACGGCCAGTCACCAGCTTTGGTGGCCTCTCCTTCGACAATTAATTCTGTGTGCAATATTTTCCTTCTACCACAAGCACCACCGCCGACTAAGTCAATTGGAATACTATCATCTACTGTACTCTTAACGAACTTTTTCAAGAAACCCTACGAAATAGGATCATTAGAACATATAATATTATAAACTTATATAAAAACGGCTAAAACGTATATTCATTCGGTGGCGGCACCGATTAGTTTTGAGCCCATCGAAAGCCCACTGAGCGAGCGATGGGCCGCGTCCGCGCAGTAATATAAGTCCCACTCACCCTGATAAAGGGCCCCGATGAGCTCGAAATTAGTCGGTGCCGCCATCGGCAGAATATACGTTTTAGCCGTTCTTATATAAGTTTATTATAATGTCTCAAGAAAGTTTGAATAATTTAAAAAAGAATATTATACGATTTAATATTTGTAATAGCAAAAATATTTTGGAATCTGTCAATGAAACTTTTGAATTAGAAAAATCATCCATTTCTTATTACAAAAGACAATTTTAACGTGAACAAAATTTCAGTTCAAGTCTCTTAAGGCTTTTTTTTTATTAAAATTTCTTTTTTTATCTTTTATCTTATTTTATTTAAAGAGTTTCCTTTATAAAATTAAGTCAAATAATAAAGATTTAACTTTTTTTTGTATGTGATATTTTACGATGCCGTTTAATAATCACATGTTAACGGCTATAAACAAAATACTAGATTTTAATATAATTAGACTTACCTTTCTTGGATTAACGCATAATTCCACTGAGTTAAGTTTTATACTTTGAAAATATGGAAGTCCGCCTGAAGGTGGACCCTTTACTGCGAACGAAATTGAATTAGTCATGTTCGTTATTCTTATATTAAAACTATCTGGACCAGAGGCACTTAGTCTGCCTTTATCTTTGTCTGCCTGAAAATAAAGTTTATAACAAAATCAACTAGAAATACTAACTATATATGGATACCTTGTACATATTCAAAAAACACAATGACGCATTTAAAACAATAAAAAAAATGTTTGTTTGTACGCGCTTATCTCAAAAAATAAATATAGGATTTAAAAAATACTTCTGCATTTGAAAGTTCAAGTATTAAGGAAGGTTATAGCTTTTTAACATCACGCTATGATCCATAGGTACCAAGCAGGGTTAAAAATAGAAAAAGATAGACCACGAAAGTGTAAATTCATAATCTAAAATTATTCAAAAGTGAAATTCCATCGCCGAAACAATTGTAATTAAACATATCTTTGTCTCTTTTTTTCAAAGAGAGTGAAGGAGATGACGATATGTTATACAGTTTCATCGTTATTGGAAACACACAGTAAATAATGCCAAAGACAATTTTACATATGTTTTAATAGACTGGGAAAAACTTAATATTGCACAATCGTATGTAAATAAGTTGTTTGTCTTTTTAGTAAATAAATATATATTGTTTGACCTTTTCGATTTTCCCCATCTTACTAATATTACAAATGCGAGAGGTTAGATGGATGTTTGTTCCAAATTATCTCAAATAAGAAGTGAATGGATCCCTTTGAAATTTAGTATAGATGTAGAACATAGTCAAATAGAACATACAGACTACTAATTTTTAAATCCGCACGGACGGAATCGCGGGCGACAGCTAGTATTACATGAAGATATACATGTACTAGCCTATATCATTCGAATATCATAGATTTAAAGTAATGAGATTGAATGTGGCTACAGAGATTGTGTGAAAGAGGATATGCGTAGGAAGGGAGTAAATTCTGATATGACGGTTGATAGAGATGTTTGGAGTACATACTTTGACGACCTTCCGTAGATAAATGGAAAGATTGATAGCCATTAATAGATAATAACTTTAAAAAAGCTGTTCTGTTGTTAAATTTTTACTAGATGGCGTTGTTAACAATTTTAAAATATTAGACGAAATTAATAATTCTTTTTAACGTTTCTACAGTGGAAATGCACTTTTATAACAGTATTTAGTTTGTTAAAAATAATACTATACATTCACCTCATACGGTGGAGCGTGTTAATTAAAAATTACAGTTCTTTGACCTCCAAAGTTCATGTTACTTGGAACACGTAACCGTTGTTTTCTGAGACCAAAATCTTTGCTTAAAACATATCGTCCACCCTATCTCTGACAAAACAGTTAAAAAAATGTTTGAAACGGAGATTTTTGTCTCAGAAACACACAGTAAAGAAACGTATACATTAATGATTAACGTCGGAAAAGTTAATCAGAGTTTGGGTGAAGTTTGTTTCTTAATGTTCGTGATCAGGAAACTGACCGAAGATGTTCAGATATGTAGGATTTCACTCACTTTAAATGTCTTTGTGTTATCAAGGAGAATGGGAATTAGAGGGCTTTTTATTTTTTTATTTGACAAGGGGGTAAGTTTGACCATTATTAATTTAGGTCACCGACGCCCATTGACATAGCCACACTGATGGAACTGCATTTACTCTGTACCGGCGTTAAACGTTTGGGTGAATGCCCAGGGCTTTGGACACAAAGGGGCGTTGCAGGTCTGTTTATCGCTCCTCAAAGGTATGGTTCACCCAGGGGCGTTCGTAAGAACCGGCAAGGATTTATATTATTATATCAGACTTTTGAGATATAATTGTCCGAATAACAAACAAACAATTCTTCATTATTAAATTCTACACGTACTGTCTTATCAAAACTAATTAAAAGAAACTTAATTAGTGGCCTACGTGTGTGATGTACACATCTATGCCAAATTTCAGCAGGATTCAGTCAGAAATTCTGGAGACAGCTTCAAAAAACATCCATCCATCCATCCATCCATGCAAACATTCGTATTTATAATATTAGTATTCTTACTAATATGTTTGGATTAAGATTAAGAAATTACTTACCAATTTTAAAACAGCATCAGAATCCGTCAGAATGTCAATTTCCGAAAATGCTGGTATATCTTTATCAATTAACACACTGTATACATTATTCCTGCCGTCTGGTAAACCAGGCTCAAATGATACAATAATTTCTTTATCATTTTTACAAGGATATGCATGAATTAACGGATTGCCAACAAACTTCCAATTACCCTGACAAACAATCTCTTTAACAAAGAGAAATATGAACAAAACAATCTTCATTATAACCTCAAAATTCACAACACTTGTAATCTTGATAGTTTATCACAATTGACTACATTCCCAATAAGGATAATTGTTTAAAAGTAGTATAACATGTTTTTAAAAATTAATTTAACAACATTAAAATATGTCTTTGCGTAACAAAACTTGATCGAACTGAGTTGAAGAATGAATGATCCGAGAATCTTGTGAACGACGATGTTATGTTACTTTCATAACATAACTCTGACAATTTAAAATGTTTCCGTTAATGTACAATGTCCTAATGTAAATTATTAGGAAGAAAATCCGACACTTTGCCACTGCGGTGTATTGGCTTATTAAAATGTCAACTTTTATGTCCCCTCACTAATCAATCTGACACTTGACTTGGTAACAAAAGAGCGCCATTCGCGTCAAAGAATTTGAACGTATAATGTCTAAAATACATACCCACAAAACATAATAAATACAACAAAAAATGTATGACGATCAATAAAATAATTATATTGTTTTAATACACATATGATTCGTCATTTTCAAAAATGACTAACAAAAATATTTAACAACTAACAACAACATAATATAACGTAGACGAGGAAAACGTGTTGTAAAATTAATTCCAATAGCTAACAAGACGAAAACACTCTTATTGCTTTTGTTTTACGGATCAATTTGCATTGTTTAAATAATAATCATTTATTATGCGCTTTAAAAAATTCAAATAAAATGCTTATTTAAAGAAACGTAACGAACTTAACTGTGTATAAATTTAATCTTTTTAAAATATCTTGAGGGCTCAAGGTCATCGGACTGCGCATTCCCCCCTTCCTCGCATCCCGTTACGTTCCTCTACACGCAAAAATGTGTTGTGCGCAGCGACTCGCACGATGGGCCGCTAAGATATCTGAAAAACAGCATACCAATTTTAAATTAATAAATAATTATCATTAATTTTTTCAGTTTAAGGCGCATTTTAACGAAAACCAAAATTTGAATTTATCGATGCAACCTAATAAGCGTATACACCGTAATGCCACTGACAAATATTCCTTAAATCGTATAAACTGGATAGGCTATAAATCGTGGTATTTTGTGCCTAATTGATATTCACCATTTTAACGTTTATGGTAGCGATAGTGACGATTTTTACTCATTTTACGTATGTGATGTTAGCTGTCGCCCGCGACACCGTCCGCGCGGATTAAAAAAAACTTAATATGTAGTCTGTGTGTTCTTCCTGACAATGTTCTATATCTATGCCAAATTTTAGGGAGATCCATTGAACCGTTTCGGAGATATCTTTAAACTAACATCCATTCTTATAAACATTCGCATTTATAATATTAGTAAGTTAATGATTATTGTTGTTGCTAGAGTACATTTCTATCAATAAATCTTCATTTATACAGCTTTTAAAGACACCTTAGTGGTAATTAATCTGTTCTTTGTCGTTAAATAAAAGTTCCATATATCAAAACAAACAAGTAATCGTACAAAGAAGTTAAATAAAATGAGACCACACACCCTCACCTTTGCTTTGTATCAAAAAAGTGGTTTCTACTTTTGTCTTTCCACACATAAAAGAACCTTTGTTTCACCACAGAGTAAAAAAGCGGCTGTAATTTTAAGGAACATTCGGAATGCATTCCGTTTTAATAAAGTCTATTTCAACTGTATCACCCCGATATTTATTTAATTGTCGGACGAAAGACCGATGTATAGTTATCTCTTTTCTTTCAAAGGGAATGTTTTTGTTGATGTGCGAAAATTGAGTCACATATCTGTGATTCAGTTTCGTTTTATTACTCAGCTTGGAATTTTTCAATACCTATTCTTGTTAGTATTCCTATTATTCTATATTTTTCTTCTTACTAATATAAATGCGAATGTTTAGATGGATGGATGTTTGTTTGAAGATATCTCCGGAACGGCTGAACGGATCTCGATGAAATTTGCCATACATATAGAACATACTCTGGAAAAACACATAGGCTACTAATTATGTTTTTTTTTGTAATTCCGCGCGGACAGAATCGCGGCCCATAGCTAGTCTTACTAATATTATAAATGTGTTAAGACTGATCGATGGATGGATGTTTTTTGAAGGTATCTTTAGAACTGCTGAATGCATCTTAATGAAATTTGGCATACATATAGAACATAGTCTGGAAAAACACATAGGCTACTAATAATGTTGTTTTTTTTAATTCTGCTCGACAGAGTCGCGGGCGACTGTTAGTTTTTATTATTTCCTTAAGTTCTTTAAGAGAGTGGAATGTTTTTTGCGAAAGAAAACATCGTGATGCATCCAACAAATATTTAAGAAGAAATCCAATTATTTTTGAAGTCAACTCGCTTAGTACTTGAATTAAAAACTACAGTAAGAACATTTAACACAAAGTATGTTTATTCAGGTTGTTAAATACAAAGAAACAAAAGAACACAGCTTTAATGGAATAACAGCAATTATTTTTTTGTTTTTAAAAAGGTCGGGTTTCCGGTTTCTTTCTGGGTTGTAAGCAAAAATACCTCATTACTTAATATCGCGTGTTTATTTTCCATTTTTTAAATTATAATTTTGTTATCAGGGGTTAAACACTTGACTTGTAATCTGCAGATCCTGAATTCGAATCCCGTGATGTACCAATGTGTTTTTCTAATTACATATGTACATTTTTACGGTGAAGGAAAACATCGTAATAAAACCTGCACATATCAACAAAAATTCAAAGATATGTGTAAATTTCCAGGAAAAAGCCACCAACGTGGCTTACAAGACGTCGCGTTCCGTTTCGCGCAGGGCCGAAAAGTGTGCAGAAGTTCGTTTGGCCACGCCAAATGGAAATCCGTGGTCTTTGCCTACAGCTCTGGATTACAAGCGTGAGTTGTCTTTTGTTTTATTTAATTGAAAGAAGCCCGTTCTAAGTCAGTAAAGAACATGAATGACATCGTATTCTTCAAAGATATTTTAACCACAATGATATGAAAATACGTAGTCAAGCAGAATAACATATTGTTAATTAAGTCTACGTAGGTCATTTGTCAATATTGACCTGATGGGTACATTACTCATTATATGTTATTAATTAGCGGAATAAAGTAACATTTTCCTGTTAATACAATACTAGCTGTCACCCGCGACTCTGTCCGCGCGGAATTATAATAAAACTTAATATGTGTTCTTCCAAACTATGTTTTACATCTGTACCAAATTTCATCAAGATCCATGCAGCCTTTCCGGAGATACCTTCCAACAAACATCCATCTATCCATCTAAACATTCTCATGTATAATATTAGTAAGACTAGCTGTTGTCCGCAACTCCGTTCGCGCGGAATTAAAAATATTTAGTAGCCTTTGTGTTCTGTTCTACATCTAAGCTAAATTGCATTATTCATGCAGTCGTTCCGGTACCTTCTAACAAACATACATCTAAACATTCGCATTTATAATATTAGTAGCATATAATCTTAGACTTTGTACATAAATGGGTAAATTTTGCATCAATATTCCTTTAAATTCAGCCCATAGTCGAGGTAAAAGGCAAGAGAAATATTTAAATTAGCCGTCTGCCGCACGGTGACACCGCTGGAGTTCATTAAGTTCTCTTAAGTCTAAAGTCCCAGCTTGAGCTATTCAGATAATAGTTTTCATTAAGGAAATATTTAATCGTTCATGAATGAAAAGAAGTAACTATTGAACATTACTTTGATGTTTTCTAAGCTAAATTCAAGGTTAGTGATAAAATTAGATGTTACTCTTTAATTTAAGAAAAAGTGTTCAAAAAGATGTAATAATATTTTACCTCTTTTGTTACACAAACTAGCTGTCGCCCGCGACTCTGTCTGCGTGCATATATAAAAAAAGTTAATATATATTATAGATAAGTTAAATAAAAAGCAGCTCTTCAAGGCATAAATTCGAAAAAAAAGAATAAATAGTATCCTATGTCCGTCTCCTGGCTCTAAGTTACCTCCTCACCAATTTTCAGGTATATCGCTAAAGCCGTTCTTGAGTTATAAATTTTGTAACTGACACGACTTTCTTTTATATAGATTGTTGTGTCACGATTTTTTATGAATTTTTTTTTTCATAGCGCGGGGTCGGAGTCGCAGGCGACAGCTAGTTTTTATAGGAAATGCGTTTAACATATCGATATATCAAGAAAATGCTGTAGAAAATTTTAGAATCGATTATTCCATTTACAAAGTTAAATAGGTTTCTATTTCTAATTTCTAGCCTGATGAAGTGACCTTTTGTGTTATATTAAAGTTGGTGACCTTTAGAAATGATAGAATTTTATATCAATATTACTTTTTGTAATAATGCTTTCATTATTTCATGTTTTGCGTATTTCCATTTTAATTTTTAAGGAACACAAGCTGTGGCACGCTACTTCGTACGCGGTATTAATAATTCTCGTTCTTTAGATATGCAAAAATCAACCACTAATTATGGTTTTTATCATTCCTCGTGGACGTACCGCGGATGACAGCTACTTAAAAAATATACGATTAGGCGGCCATCTTTTAACTTAGCATATTTTAAAGCGCTTGTTTACCTTATTTGTTATGCAAATCTTGTATTAGAAACAAATTCCATTACCAGGTACGTTGTATGTCGACATAGTAATTAATAACAGCGGCAAAACCGATCTCTGTTCCGGTAGGATCACGTTTGAAACTATTGTCTTATGAATTTCTAATCGGTATACATTCCTGTTACTGACGTCCAATTCGATATTAAATTTAATTATTTAAGGAAAAATTTATTTTAAAGATGTATGTAGATCACACAGGTTAGGTTTTGCATGACAGTTTTTACGTAACTTGCATAACCTAAAAGAAAACCCTGGCATTTGTATGGTAAAACTGTATATTTGCGTGTACTATGAAACTTGGTTATTACAGCCGATTACGTTAAAACCAACATGCAAAACCTAATATGTGTCATTATATTAAAATGTGTATTAGCGCCTAAATAAAAAAATAGCAAATTCTAATAATCATATTTTTGCAGTACAATTTTAAGTACATTTTTCACTTTTAAAAGACACAATTGTGGCAGATTTTTTTGTTCTGTATAATGATATTTAGAGTTTAAATTACGTTACCCTTACCACGAATAACTTTCATACAGGACACGAGTTGGCTATTAGTCACACAAACGGAAATCTCGGCAATATATTAATTAAACCATATCCACAGCACATGCGGCGCTTATCCAATTTACATTTTCGTTTTTATAAATATAAAGT